CTCGGAGTTTCGATACCAGGGTAGTTTTCAGGACACCCTGAAGGGTCAAGGTTCGGGGCCCCACAACCCTGTTTTCGTCAGGGTAATATTTATCAGAATTGGAATTGTTATTAATGGTAAAGTGAGAGTACACACAAATATACCTAAGTGTTGTACCCTCTAAGAGGTAACCCTATACAGTCTATACAAACATGACAAATACAGATGTTTGACACACCCCCTAGACTGCATAGGGGAATACCCTAAACAAGCAGCTCAGGGCGGCACTACTAGTCCAACCTCTGAGACAAGGGTCTGAGAGACCAGTCAGAAGGAGTACAGACAAGGCAAGAACAAGACCAGGGCGGCACTACTAGTCCAGCCACTGGGAGAGGACACACGTCCAGTCTGAGTATACATATAAAGGACAGTACAAGTCAAGGTCCTAGCAAGTGAGAAGCGACAGGAACTAGACCAAGCTGTACACAGTGCCGCTGATGATCTTTAGGCGCAAGCGCCTTCGTAAAGATATCAGCTGTGTTGGCACCTGAGGCCAAGTGTACTACGCGAGCCTGACGTCGCTGCTATAGCTCACGCAGGAGGAAGTACCGCAGCTGAATGTGCTTCGCTCTGCCCTCGAGTCGAGGCTCCTGACACAGGAGGATCATGGCCCTGTTGTCAGCGAACAGGACCGGGGCAGAGCTAGGCCGCTCACCTAAGTCAGTGAGCAAGAAGGTCAGCCAGCGGAGCTCCTGTGCCGCCATGGCACCAGCGTAGATCTCAGCCTCACAGCTGGACTGTGCAACAGACGAGGAGCGAGTAGCTCTCCACGAGACGGCACCTGAGCCAAGGCTGAAGCAGTAGCCCTGGGTAGACCTGAGTGTCTCAGCGTCGTCTGCCCACGAAGCGTCTGTGTGTCCAGTAAGGACAACTGGCCTGCGTCCTCCTAGCACTAACCCCATGCCCGATGTACTAGCAAGATAACGCAGAACCCTCTTAGCGGCAGACCAGTGCTGCGGTCGGTGTCTGCCTATGGCCACAAAGCGCGCCAGGATGCTGAGAGGGTATGCGAGATCTGGGCGAGTGCAAGTCATCAGGTATATGAGGCAACCCACCAGCTCTGCGCAGGGGCCGCTGGGCTCTACCAACTCCTCAGACACTGGAGCGGAGAGCCTGTGGTCTACAGGCAGAGGGGTGGGCTGTGCAGAGGAGAACTGAAGGCTGAACCTCTGAAGGACCTGGCGCACCAAGTGTGACTGAGTCAGGGTGATGGTGCGCGCAGCTCTGTCCCTGGAGATCTGCAAGCCAAGGTAACGGCGCAGTTCTCCAAGGTCAGTGCAGGTGTGTCTCTTCAGCAGCTCGGCCTTCACGGAGGCCAGTGCGTCCCTGTCTGCCGTGGCAAAGACCAGGTCGTCGACGTAAACAAGGATGTAGAACGGAGTCTGGCCAGCACGAACGAAGAGTGAAGGGTCTGCGGAAGACGGAAAGAACTGCAGGTCAGCAAGGGTAGCACAGAGAGTGTCGTGCCACTCACGGGGAGCCTGGCGCAGGCCGTAGACGAGGCGCCGCAGGAGCCACTGGGTCCCAGGAGGGAAGGTGCCAGTAAAGCCCGGAGGGCGACGCAGGTAGACCTGCTCGTGTAGACTGCCCTGAAGGAAGGCAGTGGAGAAGTCGAGGGAGTGAAGCTCGTAGTCACGCTGAGCAGCTAGGTGTAACAGAACCCGAAGAGTAGTCATCTTCGGGGTCGGAGCGAAGGTCTGGAAGAAGTCCACCCCCTCACGCTGACTGAAGCCTCTAGCCACATAGCGCGCCTTGAACACAGGCGGCTCTCCAGGAGGGCGCTTCACCTTGAAGAGCCAGCGGCCATCGACTACGTTCACCCCAGGTGGGGAAACTGCGTCGATGAAGGTGCCGGTGGATCTCCAAGATGCCATCTCCTGCTCCATGGCAGCTATCCACTGCGAGGCCCAGGGTCCCGAAGTCGCCTCAGCGTAAGTGCGAGGGGTCGGGATGTCGAAAGCGTCTGGGTCACCCTCAGGGACTAGCAGCATGGAACAGAGATGGGGAGCAGCCTCGGAGAGGAAAGCAAGCTCGAACTGGCGGTCCTCCAGGACGTCACTACCAATGGCAGGAGAACCCCCGACAGACGGAGGACAGGCAGGGTCAGAGACCAGAGCGGTGGCGTAGTCAAGGCGGCGGGTAGAGGCGAAGTCAGCGACCGCAGCGACAAGAGCGTCAAGGCACGAGACCGGAACAGACGGGTCGGTAACGAGAGAGGCAAGGACCCGAGGAACAAGAGGACGAGCGGCACGAAGGTAGTCAGACAGCGGGGGGGGCGCAACAACAAGGGAGGACGGAGGAGGCGACGGCAGAAGGGGAGGACGAGACGCGTGGGAACGAAGCAACATAGGGTGGGAGCGCAGGACAGGCGAGGCAGGACGAGCACGGGAGGGACGGTGAGACCAGACGTGCGACGGAGGAGTCGGGTCAGGAGACAGGGGAGGGGACACAGGAGGGGAATGAGGGGGAAGACGGGCCGAGGACGAGTCCGGCGGAGGGAACACAGGGCAGTAGACGGGAAGAGGAGGAGACGGTCGGGGAGGAACCGACGCAGGGTCGGGGGACGCCAGGCCGAGCAGGCGAAGGGCTGACACCGGCGGGGACTGCTGCTGCGGCAGCACAACGGCGACACCGGGACCGCTAGCTGCTCCTCGGCGACCCCCGACACTCTCCACACCAGCACCCCCAGAGGGACCAACCCCAGGGCTACCGGGACGAGCACCCCCAGAGTCAGCGAACGGGTGCTGCGACGGCAGCGGCGGCGGCGGCGGCAACGACGGCTACAGCGGCGGCAGAAGCGGTGGAGGAGGGGACTGGGGAGGGGACGCCAGGGGAGGGGCGGCTGACGAGGACTGCACAGGAGGGCCACCAGAGTCAGAAGACTCCTCAACCGGGTCCACCGACGGAAGGGGGGTGACGTGGGAAACACCAGAGGGGGCGGGACGGGGAGGGAAGGAGGAGGGGCAGGGACTACCAGGGAAGGAGGGACCAGGAACAGGGGGGGAGTAACCGGGGGACCACGGTGGGGGAAGCGACGGTAGTAGGAGACGGACTCGTCAAAGGTGACGTCACGAGAGTGAAAGAAGCGGTGAGACGGCGGGTGGTAAAAGTGCCAGTCGGACGCGTCAAGGGGAAAACCGAGGAAGACGCAGGGAAGGGTGCGGGTAGTGAGCTTGTCCGTGCCGGAGGCACGGACGTGAGCAAGGCAGCCCCAGACGTGGAACGCAGACGCGTCACCAGGAGACCCAGTCTAAAGACGGGTCGGCGAAACCTGCGGCTGCTGAGGGTGCGGCCACAGGTTAAGCTGGTGAGAAGCGTAGCGCACAGCGAACGGCCACAGAAAATGGGGTGCACCGGCATGGATCATGGAGGTGCGAGCCACCTCCATGACCAAACCGATGCGTCACTCAGCGACCCCATTCTGCTGTGGGGAGTCCGGTAGGGTGAACCTCTGGGTGATGCCCTCCGCACGACAAAAGCGACCAAGGACACCTGAGGCAAACTCGCCACCACGGTCGGAGTGAAGACGCAAGACAGGGAGACCGCGGTGGACACGCGCAGAGACAAGCCAGGGGATGAGAGCGCCAGGCACGTCGACCTTGTGCTCCAGGGGAAAGACTGTGGTGTAGCGTGTGAAGTCGTCGACAAGCACAAGGAAGTAACGCTCTCGACGCGGCCCAGGGACAGGGGCGGGGCCCCATACGTCCAGGTGCAGGGTCTGCAACGGCGCGGCGGTAGGGGGAAACGAGGAGGAGTGAGGGGCACGGCGAAGCCGACCCTCGACACAAGGCGTGCAAGGTGGGGCTGGGGAGGAGGGAAACGCAGGGAGAGAACCTGGGAGACCAAGGACAAGACCGTGCTGGGACATGTGACGCAGACGCGGGAGCGCAGGGTGACCTAGGCGGTGGTGCCAAAGGAGGGTCGGGTGAGTGAGGGACCGACAGGAGCAGGCGGCAGCAACCTGGGTGAGCGCTCCAGCCGGGGGGGTCACGGTGTCCAGAGTGAACAGGCCGGACACCGGGTCCCGGGGGAACGTGGACAGGGGGGCACCAGTGGCGGCCTCGGTACAGACAGCATACCGCTCGTGACCAGGGAACGTAGTGGTGACGCCAAGGTCCTGGAGGCAGCCGACACCAACTAGGTTCCTGGAGAACGAGAGGATATGCAGACCTGTAAGAGAGCCCGAAGGAACCGCCGGACAGGGAAGGGTGGTGGAACTGCGGGCGACTACCGGACCGCGAGAGGGGTCAGCGAGAGAAACGGCAGCAGGGACGGGAAGCGGCGTCAGGGTGGTGGAGTCGCGGAAGAAACACCGAGAAGTGCCAGAGTCCAAGGTGAAGGAAAGCGAAGCAGAGGCGTCTGGCGACGGAACGACGGCGGAAACACCAAGACTACACAAAGCAGAGGATCCTACGCCTGACGCAGCAGGGGAGGGTACACTAGGCACACCTACACTAGGCAACAGTGAGTAATAAGCGGGAAGCACACTAGAGTCATCAGCATACAGCACATGCAGAGCAGAAACAATGGCATCCATGTCCATATCAAAGATCTGAATCTGACGACTAAGCAAACTGTGCCAGTCCGGGAGGTCTGGCGACGGGCCGAAGCGCTGACGAAAGAGGTCGTCCAGGCGACGAAAACAGCGGGGAGTGGAGTGACCGAGCTTACCGCAAACGACGCCGCGGCGAGGACCGGTCTGGATCTGGTACTGACAACGCCCGCCGCCAGAGCCACCATGCGGCACACCACCACGCGCCCGGCCACCGCCAGCGCCGGGCCACCCCGGCGGGAGGACACTCGTCTGCCGCGTCTGCGACGGCTGCTGCGGCTGCTGCGAAGGCTGCGACTGCGGCGGCTGCTGCGGCTGCTGCACCTGCAGGGGCGGCGACTCAGCTGAACTGGGCAGGGTCCCCTCGTCCACTCCAGCACCAGGGTAATATTTTCGTAACACTTTTTGGATCAGGGTAATAAATTTCGTAAGTCTGATTCTTAAGACCAAATGAAAAAATGCCCTGAAAAATCAGGGCAATCAGGGCATTTCACCCGGCTAATTTGGGCCCTGGACAAAACTACCTTGTATCACACATTCTAGTTTATTCCATTACTCTGAGATTCACCCCATTTTAAAACCCACATGTAACACTATCTTCATCAGCCTCCTTTTACCTAGTGCTCTTCCTCCTGGGTAAGCCAACTACTCCCAACTTTCCACCCCCTCGACCTTCATCGGTGTTCCCTCCAGCCAAGGAAGCATCAAGAGCAGCAGGGGAGGTTCCATGCCCATGCAACGGCCCAGAGCCGCTTCTCCCAATCCCATGGGAGGACCCGGGCCTGGATCCGGGCCTTGACCCGGGCCTAGAGCCTTGGCCCGATCCGGGCCTCGAGCCTGACGTGGCAAATGGGTGGTGCTGCTGCTGCTGTGGTGGTGCTGCTGTTGCTGCTGCTGCTGCTGCTAGCTGCGGTGACTGCTGCTGCAGAGGCAGCAGCAGCAGCGGCGGGTGGTTACTACTGAAGCTGGATGACCGGGGAATCGACTCCGACTCGGATCGAGGTATGGGGATGCGAAGCGGCGAGTCCCTCTCCCCACTGCCGCTTCTTGCAACTCCCAATCCGCCCATTCCTCCCATTCCTCCCATTCCTCCCATTCCTCCTGAAACTTCCGCCCTTGCTCCGCATGCCAGCCCCCCTCTTCCTCTTGCACCTCCCCTTGCCCCTCCCATCCCTGCTTCTCCAGCTGCTGCAGCTGCTGGAACTCTCCCTCGTGGGGCAGTCTGTTGTGGCATGCCTTGCTGCATGACGTCAGCGGACACACTACGAGGCAAACCATGCCACCCATCAGCACCAGCAGCACCAGCAGCAGCAGCAGCGCCAGGTTCGGCCGTGGCACTGGCTCTGTGCCCGTCTCTGTGCGCCTGCCCTTGCCCTTCCTTAGACCGCATGGCCCAAGACGCCAGCACTGAACTCGCACTGCTCGTTTTCTCCAGAGGAACCCACGCCTGTTGGTGCTGCTGCTGTTGGTGCTGCTGGTGGTGAAGCTGCTGTTGCTGCTGCAATTGTTGTTGCGGCTGGAGCGGTGACTGCTCTTGGTAGACCTCCCTCCTATCCTGCTGCTCTGAAATAGCCCGAGGCAGCTGAGCCTTTCCCTTCCGAACCGGTCGCATCCGAACCTGCTGCGGAACCTGGGCAAGGTCCGGCTGCCGAGCCTCCTGTAGCCGAGCCTGTGCCAGGCGCTGCTGCTGCTGTTGCAGGTGGAGAGGCCTCTCCTGCATGGACCCAGGGCCCCAGGGGGATCTGGCTGAGGAGAGCGAGGAAGAGGGAGGGAGGGGGGAGAGGGTGGCGAGGGAGGACTCGGAGCGGCGTTCTTTCATTGAGAGCGACGAGGGGAGGGTCATCGCTGCTGCGACTGCCGCTCGCGTCGGCATCTGAAACCCGCTGCTCCTCCGGGCTAGTCTCTGAAACGCCCCCGGGGATTTGAGAGGCAGGTCGAAAGACACCCGTTCAGACGGTACCGTTTGCTCCTCTCCACCCACCTCCTCTCTTCCATCTCTCCCTCCCTTCCCACCTTCCTCTGCCATACCACCGTCCGCACTGTCTGTCCCCCTATGGGGCCGAGGGGAGCGGAAGCCGCTAGGAGAGAGGAAGCCGCGGGGGGAGAGGAGAGCACGGGGGGACCTTCCTCCTAGCATGTCGCCCACTCCTGTGGTCCAGGACTTGGGGGGCGCTAGAGGGGCGAGCGCCTTCATTGATGTTTTCATCGATGTTTTTACTGCTGCTGCGAGGCCCGACCCCGCTGCTCCCAGCTTCGTTCGCCCACTCTTGCTGCCAGCACTAGCACCAGCACCAGCACCAGCACCAGCACCAGCGCCAGGAGCAGCACTGCTTTCCCCTTTCCCTTCCCCTTCCCCCTCCCCTATCCTAGAGTCGTGATACCGGCGAGGACTCAGCAGGTTCACGTCCATGCCCCCACCTGGTGAATTTTGAGTCACCTCCTTCATGTCCTTGCCCCCACCTGCCCCACCTTTAGACCCCGGCCACCCCTTCCTCCATCCGCCACTCGATCTTGGCCGCCCTCCTGCTCCTGCCCCTGCTGCTGCTGCCCCTGCTGCTTCAAGCCCTGCTCCACCACCCGCATCTCCACAGCTGCTGTCCCCCAATGGCTGCTGCTGCTGCTGCTGCTGCTGCTGGTACATTGTGGATTCTGACTGATTGGATTGGAATTGAGAATCCGATTCCAACCGACTGTCTGACTCCAACACCTCACGATTCTCCCCACTCTCCTGGCCTCCACTCCCACCCTCGGCCGCACCACCCTTCCCTCCCCTATCCCCCATAAGAGCAGCCTCTGAGAGTAGTTGTCCGTCCCCTGACGCTCTAGCATGGCTGCTTAGACCATCCTTGTTCTTCATTCTTGAGTGTTGCTGGTGATGCTCATGCTCCCCTCTCCCCTCCGTTCCCTCCCCCCCTGCCTCCGACTTGTGCCGTCTGAAGAAATTGCGTGGGGAGAGGGGGAAGAGGCGAGGAGAGTGCGGAGGAGGGGTGCCCGGAGCCCCAAACCCCGATGCTGCTGCTCTGTGGAAGAGGTTGGAACGCGGGGTCATTACTGCTGGGGCTATTGGTAAATCTGTTGCTGCTGCTGCTACTCCCACTGCTGCTGGTGATGATGCTGATGCCAGCACCGCTTGCTGCTGCTGCTGCTGCTGCTGCTGCTGCTCCTTCTGTCCTGAGGAATGCTTCTTTTCTCTGTACCCTCGTCTGCGTCCCAGAAGGGGCGAGCGCAGGGGAGAGGAGTGGGAGGAGGGGTCTTTCCGGGGACGAGAGGGGGGAGTGGGGGTCAGGCCGCCACTGCTGGTACGAGCATTGCCGTTAGCAGTGTAAGAATCATCCACACCAATCGAACCAGTAGCAGCAGCGCCACCACCAGCACCGGCAGCCACAGCACCAGCACGAGCTGCAGCAGAGGAGGTAGCGGGGAGGGAGAGGCGGGAGTGTGGCGCAGCAACCCCTTTTCTTCTGGCCCAGAGGTCGCCTTTGTGTCCTCCCTGCCGCCACCCCCCCCCTCCTGGACTGGGGCTGCTAGCAGAAGGAGAGGAGGCAGCACTACTGGCTGCAGGAGACAGCATACTAACAGCACCACCAGCACCACCAGCACCACCGGCAGGGGAGGTAGCAGGAGCACCACCATCGGCACCGCCAGTCACCCACGAGTTAACACCTAACGAGCCCCCTACAGGCGGGCAGCTGGGCAGAGCTGCCTGCTTGCGTGCTTCACTGTGGAATCTAGGGAAGGTGGAGGGAGAGACGCCTGTGGCGCCTACAGGGGTGGCAAGGACCCCCCCCGGACTGTCTATGCTGTCACAGGGGCTCAGCATACCCTCACAGGGACTTAGCGTGCTGAAGTCCATGCTTAGGCCACACTCCATGCTCATCGTAGTGCACCGCTCTGCACTGCTTCGTACCGCGCCTGAGTGCTGAGGGAGAGCGGAGGGTAGATGATTGCTGCCGTCAGGGAAGATGCTGCCGCTGATGTGGTTTATGGGTTGTCGTTGCATGTGAGGGAGCGTGAGAATCCGTTGAATTTCAGGCTGCAGCTGCTGCTGCTGCTGCTGCTGCAGCTGTTGGGACAAGAATACGTCTGGAGCGTCACCCCCACTAGCGGATCGTGAGAAGCTGCGAGTGCGCCACACAGAGTGAGCCCCTCTACCTGCTGCACCAGCACCGCCAGCACCGCCAGTAGCAACAAAAGATGCCCCAGGCGAAGCATTACCACCGCCAGCACCCGCTGCTAGCCCTCCTCCCGTTGCTACCCCTCCCGCCCATCCCCTTGCTGCTACCCCCCTGGGCGTGCCATCCACTGAGGTGCCTGCTCTGGGGGTGCCATCCATAGAGGTGCCTCTGCCGGCTCTGGGCGTACGATCCGTTGGGGTGCCTGCTCTCGGGTTACCATCCATGGGGGTGCCTGCTCTCGGGTTACCATCCATGGGGGTGCCTGCTCTCCCCCACCCCTGACACACCACCGCCTCCCCCTCACTGCCACTGCTCTCATTCCCCCCTCTCCTGCATCCGCCTACTCCTCCTTCTCCTCCTCCTCCCTCCATCCACTGCTGCTCCTGCATCTGCTGCTCCTGCTGCTCCTTCAGCTCCTGTTTGCTCCCTATTGATCCAGCCCTTGTTGTCAATGCGTCTGCTGCCACCCCCCTACCCCCTGCACCCTCATCCTCCTCACCCATCCCACCCCCCTCAATCACAGCACTCCCAACCCCGCTGCCAACCCCGCTGTCGACCCCTCTCCCAACCACCCCCTCCACCCCCCTCACCCGTGGATTATCCTGGCTTTGACAGCTGGGCACTCCCATCCTGCTACCCACTCTTCCCCTGCCCCTGCCCCCACCAATCACCGAACCTACTCCGAGCCTGTCTCCGAGCCTGTTCTCAAGCCTATGCTCTAGCATGCATCCCGTTCCCTGGATCTCCTCGCTCCTGCACACAGGAATAGGCGTGCGGCTCTCTAAGGTAAGGCGAGCTACAGTGGTTAAACTACTAGAATCAACTGCGCTAGCGCCTCTTATTCCCTGTGCCCCCCTCCCGCTGCTCCCTCGCCCAACCCCCCTACCCCTTCGCCCTGCCCCTCTCCCTCTGCTCACTCTTCCTCCTCTCTGCCCTCCTTCCATTCCCACACCTCCCCCCTCCCCCTCTCCTCCTCCCCTGGAGGGAGGAGAAAGTCTTGCTGATGCTATCTCCCCTCCTCCTCCTCCTCCTTCCCCCGCCGCTCCGCCTCTCCGTTCTGCAAGCCTGCCTGGAGAACCAAACGGAGGCTCGGCAGGAAGCTCAGCAGGAGGCTCAGCAAGAGGTTTGGAGAGAAGGTGGTCCGGAAGGAGAGGCTCGGGAACTAGAGGTCTGGCAATGGGCGTGTCTCGGTCATCCTCACCCACTGGCGTCATGCACTCATCTGAAAACGGCCCCTCTTGCTGCTCCTCTGCATGATCTCTGTACTCTTCATACCCCTCCTCATGTTGATACACCTCATCATCCCCCCTCTCATGCCCTCCGTACACTCCATGCCCCTGATGCTGAAAGACCCCCTCAACCCCCCCTTCATGCCTCTGATGCTGATACCCATCATCATCCCCCCCTTCCTGCCCTCCCTGTTCTGCTGGACCCACAGAGGCGTCGTGCCCATCTGCTTCCTCCCCCCTCTCCTCCTCTTCAGGTTCATCTTGAGCCGTTTCGTCCAGGAGAGGAGGAGGGGGTGGCGGGGGGTTGTCTATTCTCTGCTGCACTTTGCGCTGCACGAGCACTCTCAGGACATCCATCACCTTGATCACGTGCTTGAAGCCTATTAGAGGGTCCACCACCTGAACGCGTGAGGGAGAAAATTGGGAGACGGGGGAAAGGTGGAGGGGAGGAGAGGGGAACCGGGGTTTGTTCGTTTGCCTCTGCTGCAGTTTATCCCAGCTGAGGGACAGCACACGCACCACCTAACAGCACACGCACCACCAAACAGCACACCCACCACCTAACAGCACACACACCACCTAACAGCACGCGCACCACCTAGCAGCACACCCACCACCTAACAGCACACGCACCACCTAACAGCACACGCACCACCTAACAGCACACGCACCACCTAACAGCACACGCACCACCTAACAGCACACGCACCACCTAACAGCACACGCACCACCTAACAGCACACGCACCTGGGTGGTATCAGGCGCAAAGACAGCGGCAATGCTGTGCGCGCTCATCTTGTTGCTCGCCTCCCCACCCACACGCCTAGGGCACCTGACTTTGAGAGCCCAGCTGAGTGCACTGTGCACCGAACAACACACGCACCTGGGTCATATTGGACACGAACAACACAGCAATGCTGTGCGCGCTCATCTTGTTGCTCGCCTCCCAACCCACTCAAGTCAACCCCCATCCCACCTGAGTCACCTGGAAACCCACCTGGGTCATATTGGGCGCGAACACCACGGCAATGTTGTGCGCATTCATCTTGTTCCTCGCCTCCTGCTGCACCACGTCCGCCATGAGCCCCACCACCCACTCCAGCATGCCCGCCTGCATGCCCGGCAGCGTGGCCACTAGAGCCAGCATCTGCTCCTCCTTCTCTGCTGCTGCCACCTTGTTGGGGTGTAGCCTGTCCAGCAATCCCTCTGGTAGTTCCCTGAACCATGCCTGGATGGTGGGGTTGCATGCAGGGAAGACAGTGCGGAGGGAGGGAAGGAGTATTCAGCCAAGCCACAAGCCCCTTCCTGCTGCGCCACGTCCGCCATGAGTCCCACCACCCACTCCAGCATGCCCCCCTCCATGCCCGGCAGCATGGCCACTAGAGCCAGCATCTGCTCCTCCTTCTCCGCAGCTGCCACCTTGTTCGGGTGTAGTCTGTCCAATAATCCCTCTGGTAGTTCCCTGAACCATGCCTGGATGGTGGGTTGCGTGCAGGGAAGACAGTGCGGAGGGAGGGAAGGAGTATTCAGCCAAGCCACAAGCCCCTTCCTGCTGCGCCACGTCCGCCATGAGTCCCACCACCCACTCCAGCATGCCCCCCTCCATGCCGGGCAGCATGGCCACTAGAGCCAGCATCTGCTCCTCCTTCTCTGCGGCTGCCACCTTGTTGGGGTGTAATCGGTCCAAGAGCCCCTCCGGTAGCTCCCTGAACCACGCCTGGAGGGTGGAGTTGAATGCCAGGCGGAGGGTGGGGTTCCAGAAAGAAAAGTCTTGAGCCAGGCCAGAAGCCTCCTCCTGCTACTGCACGCGCCACGTCCGCCATGAGATGAGTCCCACCATTCACGCCAGCAGGCCCGCAGCCCGCCTGCATGCCGAGCAGCGTGGCTAACACCAGGGCCAGCATCGGCTCTCCCTTTTCTGCTGCCTGGATGGTGGGGTTGGGTGCACAACGAGGGATGGATGGGTTTGGTGGGGAAGAAGTTTCAAGACAGACAGGTCTCACGCGTCCTGGTCTGCGTGCCTACCAGGGCTAACACCTCCCCCTCCCTCTCCGCTGTCGCCACTATCTTGGGGCGTACTCGGCCCAAACCAACGGCCCCTCTGGTTGCTCTCAGAACAACCAATGCCTGGAGGTCTGTTTTTTTGGCAAAGGAGGCCAGAGGAGCACTTTTGCTTCTGCATGACACAAAGTGTGGTCAGCAGGGCAAGGGACGGTTAACGTCAAAAAGGGTTGAGCAGTGGAATGAGAAGAGTAGGACGGAAAGGGGGAGACTTTGCTTTCGAGTCGACTCAAAAGGAAAGGGGAAGATGGGAGATCGGCGAGAAGAGAGAGAGAGGAGAGGAGAGGGAGGCGAGAGGAGAGAGCACAGGAGAGAAGGAGAGACGGATGCCTTGATAAGGCCAGCAATGGCGTGCACGTCAATGTTCTCCGGCACAAGTCCCATATCCTTGAAGACCCACTTACCACAGGCGGCGGTAGGCCGCCCAGGGAGCCAGCTTGCATCACATGTGACTCGTTGTGCCTTCTAATCCTTATAAAATCAATGACCAAGGACCGGCTGAGGAGAGACGGGTTAAGGGTACCTTGATAAGGCCAGCGATGGCGTGCACATCAATGTTCTCCGGCACAAGTCCCATGTTGACCTGCAAGGGACGATTTCAGGAAGAGTGGAAAACAAGAGCAAAAAGAAAAGGAGAAAGGCATTCTGTGGATTAGACGAAGGGACTAAATGCCATGAAACCAGGCAAAGAAATCGCTAGGGAGTCAGCCCTAGGAGGAAGACGAGTGCCGGACGAACAACCGTTTCAGGAAGAGGAACGAATGATGTTGCAACAGGGGAGAGAAGATCGCGATGAGAGAAGTTTTGAGTCCATTCAAAAGGTGAGTTTTGAGTCCATTCAAAAGGTGAGTTTTGAGTCCATTCAAAAGGTGAGTTTTGAGTCCATTCAAAAGGTGAGTTTTTGAGTCCATTCAAAAGGTGAGTTTTGAGTCCATTCAAAAGGTGAGTTTTGAGTCCATTCAAAAGGTGAGTTTTGAGTCCATTCAAAAGGTGAGTTTTGAGTCCATTCAAAAGGTGAGTTTTGAGTCCATTCAAAAGGTGAGTTTTGAGTCCATTCAAAAGGTGAGTTTTGAGTCCATTCAAAAGGTGAGATTTGAGTCCATTCAAAAGGTGAGTTTTGAGTCCATTCAAATGGTGAGTTTTGAGTCCATTCAAATGGTGATTTTTGAGTCCATTCAAATGGTGATTTTTGAGTCGAGTCAAAAGTCAACCGTATGGGGAAGAGAGGAACGAATGATGTTGTAATAGGGGAATGAAGATCATGATGAGAGAGGGGAAGAAAAGTGATCAAGCCAAACTGAAATGTCTGGCTAGAGGTGTATGGGAAGCGCAGAATCAGGCGGAAGAAATAAAGCTGCAATGCAAAGGCAAACACACACACCTGCTCTCGGATCCAGTCCTCATGGTCGTTCTGTGCTGCCACTCGAAATATCCCCTCTGTCTGTACAAAAGGGCAGAAGGGGTGGTGGCGGAGGGGGGGAGGGGGAGGGGTATGTGTATGGGGGGATGGGCTGTGGGGATAAATAGAGCAACTCAGCACCTGCTCTCGGATCCAGTCCTCACGGTCGTTCTGTGCTGCCACTCGGAATATGCCCTCCCTCCGTCTCATGGGAGGGAATGGCGGGGGGGGCGGGGTATGGGAGGGATGTGGGGGGAGGGGGGGGGAGGGGGGATAAGAGGGATAAAAGGCCGGGCCGGGACGAGACGAGGTATGGCAGGGACTTGGGGAGGGGGAGCATTGGGGACCACTCAACACCTGCTCTCGGATCCAGTCCTCATGGCCGTTCTGTGCTGCCACTTGGAAAACCCCCTCCGTCTGCGACCCAGAGAATGCTAGACGAGAGGAGAAGAAAGTCCCCACCGTCTGCAACATGATGCAGCCCGCTCCTATCGTAGATAGCGCCTGCAGCTGTTTAAACACTCAACTCCACTACCACCACGGGTACCATCACTGCTACCAGCCACCCCCGACACCCCTCACCTGCAGCCCATTCTTGTCGTAGAGCAGCGCCTGCAGCCGCAGCAGAATGTCCGGCACCTGGTTACCCTCTGCGTCATAAGAGCAGTGCAGCGTCTCTGGGCGCACCCCGAACACAGAGCGACTGGGAAGGGAGGGGCAAAGAGGAGAGACGGAAGGGATAAGAAGCAGTGCAGGATCTCTGGGCGCATGCCGAACACAGGGCGACTGGGGGTGGGTGGGAGGAGGGGGGGTGATTGGAGAGAGGAGATAAGGGGGTTGCAAGGGTGAGTGGTAGAGGGACAGAATGTCGGGCACCAGGTTGCAGGCTGCGTCATACGAGCAGTGCAGGGTCTCTGGGATCCCCGAGCACAGAGCGACTGAGAGGGGGGGGAGGGTGGAGAGAGGGTGGTGATGAGAGTAGGAGAAACAGGCTGATCGAAGGGGGTAAGGAACAGTGCAGGGTCTATGGTTGCACTTCGATCCGAACACACAACGACCGAGAAGGAGAGGGTGGAGAGCGGTGATGGGAGAAGGAAAAGACAGTGCAGTGCAGGGCCTCTGGTTGCGCGCTCAACGCAGCACATGAGAGGTAAGGTGGGTGGGAGGCGGGAGAGATGTATGGGAGAGGAACAGGGGCGTGCAGTGCAGGGGAGGGGAGGGGAGTATTAGGTTTTAAGACATCTATGAAACCCAACCCACCACAGGAAAGAAATGTCTATCGCCTCAAAGGCAGTATTCGCCTGGCACTCAGGGCGCACGCGGGCAGCTCAGCTCCCACTGCAAGTCTTCCTGAAGTCCCAGAACGCCCGAGACGAGAAGCGACTTCTTCTGAGACGGCTCAAGAGGCAAGGCAACACAGGGAGACGGACCGGCAAACCCTAGGCACACCCTGGAGGCTGGTGCAGGGGGGTTGTGTGGGCAATCCCCCCTGGAAGTCGTCCAGGAAGCCGAGGCAGCCCTGGAATCTCTAGACCTGACCAAGAGGAGCTGCAAAGGGACACGCTAACCCTAGGTACACAGAGCTGGCGCTGCACTGGGAGGTCGTGCGGGTAATCCCCCCTGGAAACGTCCGGGAGGCCCAGGACGCCCTGAAGCTCTGGAATGGACTACGAGCCACAGCAACGGGAGGCGCACAAACCCTAGGCACACCTGGCGCTGGAGGCTCGTGCGGGTAATCGCCCCTGGAAGTCGTCCGGGAGGCCCGGGGAGCCCTGAAGGCGACTTTAAGGGCATTCGACTTAATCATACAGCGCGGGAAGCGTCTCAGAAGCGAATAATTACCTGGCGCTGGGGGCTCGTGCGGGCAGTTCCCCCTGGAAGTCGTCCGGGAGGCCGAGGAAGCCCTGGAAGCGGTCGAAGGTGACGTGCGTGACGTGGCTCACGCTCGTTGGCGCTCCTATCTCGATCACCCGGTCGTCGTCTGGCCGAGTGCGCGAGGAAGGGCATGGGGGGTGGGCGAGGGAGGGCATGGGGGGTGGGCGAGGAAGGGCATGGGGGGTGGGCGAGGGAGGGCATGGGGGGTGGGCGAGGGAGGGGGTGGTTTTGACGGTGACCGGGTGAGGGGAGATGTCGCGAAGAGGGGAAACGGCGGGACCAGGGGAGGTGACACGACGAGGAGAGATGACACGACGAGGCGAGTTGACACGACGAGGAGAGATGACACGACGAGGCGAGTTGACACGACGAGGAGAGATGACACGACGAGGCGAGTTGACACGACGAGGCGAGTTGACACGACGAGGCGAGTTGATGCGGTGTCAGTCACACGACGAACACAATGAAGAGGAATTAAGGACGGGTGAGCGTGCGACACCAGAAACAGCTGTATGACGCCACAGCTACAGCCACAGCCACAGCTATACGACGCCACAGCTACAGCCTCAGCTACATGACGCCACAGCTACAGCCTCAGCTACATGACGCCAGACCTACAGCCACAGCTACATGACGCCTGCTGAGTCGACTCATAGTAAGGATTAGCATCGATTTCTCATGCATGAGAACCGGTACACTAGAAGCGACATAGTCGACGCGAAGGTTCGAGTGTACCGGTTAGTCGAGCAACCTGGGACACCAGTTAGTGAGTCGATTAGTCTCTAAACTGCTGCTTGACAGCTTTGTTGAATAGACTCAGACGGCTCAAGAGACGCACTAACGAGGATAAACCATTCTTGAGTGAACGAGAGCTGACCGTCGATTAGCGTTACCTCGTCCTCTGGTCCGTCCGATGCGGCTAATCGACCTGACGAGCTTCCAGCTGCCGTTGATGACGTCCATTCCATTTGCCGGCTGTCCGCAAAAGGCGGAGACTACAGCTGACCTTAAATAGTTTTAAATAACGGTTCTAGTCCTCGCTATCCCCAAACTTGCGCGTACTTCCATTCCATTCGTCAGCCATCCCTTATCCGCGAACTCCCTCTATTCGTAGAGGCTATCTTCCTAGCAAGCAGTGCCTAAAGGACAACCCAGGCTATTTTTCTAGCAAGCAGGTGTTTGCTTGCGAGCAGTACAAGAGACGTGCAGGTTCCGTCGCTCCATGCAGTGCCAAACCCACCCTATCGCTGAGCCTGAGAGCACGCAAAGCAAAGCAAGCATTGCAGTACGCATCTGTCCGCTCTGCACCTATTCCCTGTGCTCGCACCCGCCCACCCCAGCCGTACTTCAGGCTTGCTTGCTTGCAGTAGCCATCACTACACTCCCACTCCACTCCCGCTCACACCCGCCTCTGCTGCTGAGTCTGGCCTGGCCTGATGGAATGCCCAGTGCAAACCCAGTGTCTCGTACGAAGCGAAAGCAGCAGTAACAGTTCTCGTCGTTACGCTCCTGCTCGTGCTCACGCCAATCAACGGTCACGGACACGTTGGGTTGGTGGGGAGTGCGAGGGGGGGAGGCGGGTCACATTGGGGTGGGGACGGCGCGTTTTAGATTTGATTGTACAGTTGAGGGCGTTATAAATTTGTGTTACAGCGGGTATGCCATTAGGTCCATGACATTGTACTCCATATAATACTCCAATGTCCGGAATTCGATACAATCCTCCACGATGTACTCCGTGTGTACCGTATGCATGTACTGTTTGACTTCGTTAAAAAAAGCGCAATAAACATAGTGACCAGTCACCGTAGCCGCATACTGTCACTGACCATCGGATCGCGCCACCCGAATTGGGTGCGATTTCTCGTGAAATTCCTGTGAAATTGCGTATGGAATTGCCCAGCCAATACAAGCTCGCCAGGGCGATGCTGCGTAATCACGACGGACCTGGAAAGCGAACACAGAATCACAGACAGCCCGCTAGTACCCCCGTCCAGCATGCAATTTTGCATGCGTGCTGGCATGAGCATGCCTACGTACCCCCTCAATTGATGAGGCAGACAGAGGTCGTATTTACACTCCGCCAAATCAGTATCTAATCAGTGACCAAACTACTTCGTCGGGCTCAATTATCTGGTCACAATGAGGTTACTCAGGAGAACATCGCTGACGATAGCTATGAAGGTCGGAATCTGCCGACATGCTGAAGCGCATTCACACCTTCGACTCGCCGACATCGCTCGGTGGTGTTTCACGAGATACGGTATTTATCCCGACCCCAGCATCGTGGGGAAAATCCTGAAGGAGGCGAACAAGTGGAAGGCTCTTGGGCCAGAGAGCTCCGCCACTCGACGTCTGTGTTCCGCCTTCTACCCACTGCTTGAGCAGCGGCTGAAGTCATGGTTGGGCCGGACGGCGAATGGTGGGTTGCCAATTACCATCAGCGTCATCCAACAACGTGCCAGAATTATGGCTCCGGACGCCGGCGTGCCAGTTGGATTTAAGGCCTGCGTCGGGTGGGTACAGAAAGCATTGAAGCGGATGGGATACAAGTGGCGGCACAAGCAGGGCGAAGCTAACGACCAGGACCTAGGCGTCGTCATGACGACGAAAGCCGCATGCCCGTGGTTGCTCACTCTGCTCGCCGTCGCGCCTCGCAAATGCTTCGACTACGACGAGACTGGATGCGCTTGGAACCAGATTCCGAAAATTCGCAGAAGGCCCTGTGAGTGGCGACAAAAACAGGAAGGACTGCATGACTGTCGCACTGATGTGCAACGCCGACAGCTCGCAAATGTTCAAGCCCCTCATTGTGAGCAAAACCGCCAATCCTCGCTGCTTCGCACGGAAGAAATTCGATCATGCGACGAAGTGCGTTTGGCGCGGCAATGGTTCCGGCTGGATGACTAGCCAGGTAAGCGCACGAAAGAATGTTGTTCGCGCCCTTTTGAACCTAGTGCGTGCATTTTGCGATTGCGACATTGTTGCGGTTGCTTTTATTGTCCGCCTTTTTTCGTAAGCTCGAATTTCGAATTGTGAAATTTCACTACTTTCCCGCCGCAGTTATTCACGGAATACATCGAGCACATCAAAGCTTGCTGTTTCGCCGAGGGCCGCAGCATCGACATCCTGCTGGACAACGCTAGCTGCCACAACCTCATGTCTCCGCTCGCTACGTCGGCTGACATCCTCAGCTTCCGAACACGCGCGCTCAGCAACGTTCGTCTTGTATTTCTTCCGCCAAACACTACCTACTTCACGCAACCGCTGGACCAGGGGCTCATCGCAACGCTGAAGGCTCGGTACTGATCGTACCATAGCCTCGACATGTTCCGCGAATGGGAAGAATTTCAGAGCGAGGGAATGTTGTTGCACTACAAGCCCGGCATGGTGCTGGTCATAACATGGCTGTCCGACGTGTGGTTCTCGATCGAGCCTGAAACCGTCCAGAAGTGCTAGCGGCGGACGGGTATCCTCCTTGTTAGCTGGCTCACGAGACTCCCCCTGGTCGGCACCACGGTCGCTGAGCAGGAACATAATTTGCCGGCAGAGTTCACGGCAGTCATGGAGAATCTGGCACAGCTGCCATGGGCCGACGAGGACCGCATGGATGCGGTCCAGTTCGTCACATGCGACAGCGACGATGACATATGCGACCCTTATGGCGAGGATCCCCTCGCTTTGGAACCTCTCGGCACTCCCGCAAGCGACGCATGGTATCTCCGTGCCCCGGAAATTCCGCAGCCAGTTCATGATTCGCGTAATCGCCGGCATCTTAGCCGCATGGCGACAGAGATGCTCGTCGGTTATGCGCGGTCCATCGGGCTCATCCCGAGGGACCTCCGCATTTTGTTCGACTTTCGATATCCGTCCGTCATTGATCGTCTTGAACGCGCATCCGCTCGCTTGGACCTAAACTGTGCTCCAGGGGTTGGTTCGGAAGTGTACAGGCAGCATGTGCTCCAGGCGACGGCCGTGATGGACGGCTGGGTGGACTCGGTTGAGTGGATGCGCTGAGAGAGCACTGTGTTGTGCTCCGTGTTGTGTGTTTTTCTACTGCGATTGCTCTCGGGAGTGTGCTGACTTTTGCTGGGCCGAGCGTGTTTTACCTGTGTGGTTGTTTTATTTTGCGCGTAGGATTTGTGTTGTTGCTCGGTTCTGTTGCCGTGTCACTACTTGTGTCAGTGCTGATGTGTCGTTTTGGGTTTTTCTGGGTGGGTTTGAGTGTTTCGGTGTTATTGGATTAATTGTTGTGTGTGTTGGAAACTTTTTAATGAAACAAGGTTTGAAATCCGACGTGTCTTATGGTAACACAAAATGTCGCAGCATCGGACAAGGCACCCTTCTATGAACATAACATACTAGACAAGTCACTCCGACCCCCATGTTCACTCGTTAGTCCATTTTGCCCCTACCGTACGGGCCCTATTCGACTAAGTCGATATCTGAGAGTCGCAGATTTGGAGCATAGAGCATACCCGCTGTACCAAAAAACTCTGAAGAAAGCCATTCTATGTACGCGTTTCAAGCATTGCGGTAACCAATCGATTTGGACATTGTCGTGCTACTCCAGCTGCCCTTTTCATGCTCAGCCAGTTGCCCTGGGATATGGGGGGTTGCTCATAACTACAACAACGCCGGAAAGAAGCCTCTAGCAACAGAACTCTCGTCGCTCCCGTTTTAGTCGCGTCGCTCCCCGGCTGATCCTCCGCCAAGAATGACTTCTCTTCTCGCTCCGCATTCCGCCGTCACAGCCGGCGTGAATTGCGCTGCTGCATCTAGACGAGGAATCGATGGAAACGCGGCGAGACCTTCCGCACCCCTCCGTGGTCGCATGTCATCAGCAGAGTTTGTTTTCGAGAATTCTGTGAAGCCAACTCGTCGCATGTCATCATCAGTGACGTCACCCGATTCTCTGAATGGGAGACTACGGCTCTCTTCCTCCTCTTCCCAATCACGGCCGTCCACGTCAGCAGCCGCTGGTTCCACGCGGAATGTCTTCATGGCCACGTCATCGTCGTCGTCATCCAGCACGGAGGTACGTGTCCCTGTCGTCTCCCGCTTTCGCCCAACCCCCATTCTCCTCTTCCCCACCCCAACCTGTGCCCCTCGCCTCCCACCCCCCAGGCTCTAACCCGTAGTCCCTTGATCCCCGGTGCAGTTTGCAGTGTTGGCTACAGCAGGAAGGTTCGCCAAGAAAGGTGTGCTGAGGCGCCTCAAAACCCTTCCCTCGTGCCCTCTCTTATCCTCCAACTTTTCTACACCTAATCCCCCTTTCTCTACCCCACAGCCCTTCACGTCCCTGCATCACCTGCAGCAAAGATTAACGTATGATTCTTCCCCTCCTCCCCTGTCTTCCTGCCACCTTTTCCGAACCTCTGGCCCCAGGTGCTACCCTACAGCCTTTCAGTTCTCTGTGCTTCATGCAGTGAAAAATGATGGCTGCAGTGCGAGGTGTGTCAAGGACAGAGGGTCAGCGTGAATGTCAACAACCACATTTTTCATCCCACTTAGTATTTCCCCTTCCCTATGAACCCGTCGCTACCCGACAGCCCCTTGATTCGCTGCGCCACTTGCAACAGAGGTTTTCTGTGCGAAGGCTGGCTGCTGTGCGAGGTCTATCAAGGACGGATGGTCAACGTGAAGGTCAACAAACGCTTCCATTCCCCCTCCTCTTTCCCCTTCTTCATCCCCCAGTCTGTATCCCACAGCCCCTCGATTCCCTGCGCCGCTTGCAGCGGAGAAGGCTGGCTGCTGTGCGAGGTGTGCCAAGGACAGCGGGTCAACGTGAAGGTCAACAAACGCCTCTTCCGCCGCTGCCCTGGCTGCTCCGCGGTGCGTGTTGTGGTTGTGTTTGAAGGGGGAGGGGGGGGGATCTGTTTGTGTGTCTGCGTGCATGTATGATGTATATGTGTTCGGTGTTTTCTGCTCCTGCAGAACACTCAAGAATCTGGAATTGCACGGTGTGCACTTTCGTTCCTCTTTCCGCTTACCGTGTGTCCCCTAATTTTCCTTCCTCCCCTCCTCTTCCTCCTCTCCCCTGTCCTCTCCTTGTAGGTGGGAATGTTGCTCTGTCAGAAGTGTAAAGTGTACAAGTGTGTCACGTTTCCATATGGTGTTGATAGCGGTGCTGTGGACGGGTAGAGCTATGGAACTTAGTTAATATTGCGAGATACCATAAATATAAATTCATTAGCCCCTTCAAGTGTCAAACATGTGTATTTGTCATGTTTGTATAGACTGTATAGGGTCGCCTCTTAGAGAGTACATCACTTAGGTATATCTGTGTGTACTCTCACTCTATCCAACATTCAATTCTCAATTTTGTTATGGTATCACGCGTAGGTAGGATCCCCCCCCCCCACCTACCGCTTCCGCTCACCCCTCTAGCGCCCCTCCTGGGCCCCGTCGCACCCCTCACTGGGCCCCGTCGCGCCCCTTCTGGGCTCCGTAGCGCCCCTCCTGGGCCCCGTCGCGCCCCTCCTGGGCCCTGTAGCGCCCCTCCTGGGCCCCGTCGCGCCCCTCCCAGGCCCCGTCGCGCCCCTCCTGGGCCCCGTCGCGCCCTTCCTGGGCCCTGTAGCGCCCCTCCTGGGCCCCGTCGCGCCCCTCCCAGGCCCCGTAGCGCCCCTCCTGGGCCCCGTCGCGCCCCTCCTGGACTCCGTAGCGCCCCTCCTGGGCCCCGTCGCGCCCCTCCTGGGCCCTGTAGCGCCCCTCCCAGGCCCCGTCGCGCCCCTCCCAGGCCCCGTAGCGCCCCTCCTGGGCCCCGTTGCGCCCCTCCCAGGCACCGTCGCGCCCCTCCTGGGCCTTGTAGCGCCCCTCCCAGGCCCCGTAGCGCCCCTCCTGGGCCCCGTCGCGCCCCTCCAGGGCTTCGTAACGCCCCTCCTGGGCCTCGTCGCGCCCCTCCTGGGCTTCGTAGCGCCCCTCCTGGGCCCCGTCGCGGCCCTCCTGGGCCCCTGTAGCGCCCCTCCTGGGCCCCCGTTGTGCCCCTCCTGGGCTCCGTCGCGCCCCTCCTGGGCCGCGTTGAGCCCCCCCCCCCTCCTGGGCCCCGTCACGCCTTCAGGCCCCGTCGCGCTCGCCCGGCCCCGTCGCCCCAGCCCGGCCCCGTCGCACCAGCCCGGCCCCGTCGCACCAGCCCGGCCCCGTCACGCCCGCCCGGCCCCGTTGCACTCGCCCGGCCCCGTCGCCCCCTGCCCGGCCCCGTCGCAACCGCCCGGCCCCGTCGCACCCGCCCGGCCCCGTCGCCCTCGCCCAGCCCCGGTGCGCCCCTCCTGGACCACCGTCCTGCTCGCCCAGCCCCGTCGCACCGGCCTGGCACCATCGCACCCGCTCGGCCCCGTCGCACCAGCCCGGCCCCGTCGCGCCCGCCCGGCCCCGTCGCGCCCGCCCGGCCCCGTTGCACCGGCCCGGCCCCTGCGCTCGTCCCTGCCCCGGCCCCGGTCCTCCTCACTGGTACGGTCCCCCCCCCCCCCCCCCCCCCCCCTGCCCTGCACTGCCCTGCACCGTACTGCCCCGCACTTCACCGCCCCGCACCACCCTGTACTGACTGGCACCGCACTGCACCGCCCTACACCGCACTGCATCGCACTGTACCGCACGGCACCGCACTCCACCTTGCTGCACTGCCCTGCACCGCACTGCACTGTTCCTGATGGCGGCGGAGCTTCGCTTCGACGCTGAAGGCCAGCCTCTGGAGTTCGAGGCGTGGCTTGCCGACCTCCGTCGCCAACTCACTGGCCAGCGGCAGGATGGTGAACCGCTTTCCGCACACCTTGACGGTACGCTCCCCTGCCCAGACCCCCCTGCTATTCTGCCCGTTGACTCCAAACCCACTGAGCGCGAGTCCACTGCTGCCACTGCCCGTGCGCGCTCTGTCTGGCTTTCTCGCGATGCTGTCGCCCAGCTTGCCATCAGCAACACCCTTCCCCCGTCCGAGCGCCCTTGCTTTAGGTCTCTCACCACTGCTCAGGCATACTTAGATGCTGTCATCCAGCGCTATTCCACCCCTCTAGCTGCCTCGGTGGGTCGCTTGATCCTCCCGATGCTCTTTCCTGACCTTGCATCTTTCCCCACTGTCTCTGACCTCGCTGCCCACCTGCGCTCGATAGATGAGACCTGGCGCGCTGCCTGCACTGATGCACAGCTTAGAGCCCACCAGCCGCCCATTACCTCTACCCTCTACCTGCTTGCCACCCGCCTCCCTGACCGCCTTGCTGTCGCCCGCGACCGCTTCCTTAGCATTCACCCCGCCGACCTCACCCTCACTGACTTTGTAGACACCCTGACTGTGATAGAGACCCGTCACCGCTCCATCGCCTAGGCGAGCGGTGTCGTGCCGGTCCCTATCTTTCAGGGTTGTGCCCCCGCCCAGTGTACCTTCTCCGACGGCTCTGCCGCAGTGGCTGAGACTGCTGCTGCAGCGCAGTTTCGTTCGGGGAAGGGCCGCCGCCCCAAGGCTGGGCGCGGCGGCGGCGGCGGCGGGGGTGCGAGAGGGGGTAGTGGTGGGGTCGGGGCGTCTGGTGCTGGAGCGGACAAGGGGACCCTGCCCAGTCCAGCTGAGCCGCCGCCCCTGCAGTTGCAGCAGCCGCAGCAGCCGCCGCAGTCGCAGCCTTCGCAGCAGCCGCAGCAGCCGTCGCAGACGCGGCAGACGAGTGTCCTCCCGCCCGGGTGGCCCGGCGCTGGCGGTGGCCGGGCGCGTGGTGGTGTGCCGAGTGGTGGCTCTGGTGGCGGGCGTTGTCAGTACCAGATCCAGACCGGTCCTCGCCGCAGTTTCGTTTGCGGTAGGCTCGGTCACTCCACTCCCCGCTGTTTTCGTCGCCTGGACGACCTCTTTCGTCAGCGCTTCGGCCCGTCGCCAGACCTCCCGGACTGGCACAGTTTGCTTAGTCGTAAGATTCAGATTTTTGATATGGACATGGATGCCATAGTTGCTGCTCTGCATGTGATGTATGCTAATGACTCTAGTGTGCTTCCCGCTTATTACTCACTGTTGCCTAGTGTAGGTGTGCCTAGCTTAGCCTCCCCTGCTGCGTCAGGCGTAGGATCCCCTGCTTTGTGTAGTCTTGGTGCTTCCGCTGTCATTCCGTTGCCAGACGCCTCTGCTTCGCTTTCCTTCACCTTGGACTCTGGCGCTTCTCGGTGTTTCTTCCGCGACTCTACCACCCTGACGCCGCTTCCTGTCCCAGCTGCCGTCTCTCTTGCTGACCCCTCCGGCGGTCCGGTCGTCGCCCGCAGTTCCACCACCCTTCCCTGTCCGGCGGTTCCTTCGGGCACTCTCACAGGTCTGCATATCCCCTCGTTCTCCAGGAACCTAGTTGGTGTCGGCTGCCTCCAGGACCTTGGCGTCACCACTACGTTCCCTGGTCACGAGCGGTATGCTGTCTGTACCGAGGCCGCCACTGGTGCCCCCCTGTCCACGTTCCCCCGGGACCCGGTGTCCGGCCTGTTCACTCTAGACACCGTGACCCCCCCGGCTGGGGCGCCTCCTCAGAATGCTGCGTCTACCCAGGTTGCTGCTGCTTGCTCCTGTCGATCCCTCACTCACCCGACTCTCCTTTGGCACCACCGCCTAGGTCACCCTGCGCTCCCGCGTCTGCGTCACATGTCCCAGCACGGTCTTGTCCTTGGTCTCCCAGGTTCCCTCCCCGCGTTTCCCTCCTCCCCAGCCCCACCTTGCACGCCTTGTGTTGAGGGTCGGCTTCGCCGTGCCCCGCACTCCTCCTCGTTTCCCCCTACCGCCGCGCCACTGCAGACCCTGCACCTAGACGTCTGGGGCCCCGCCCCCGTCCCTGGGCCGCGTCGAGAGCGCTACTTCCTTGTGCTTGTCGACGACTTCACTCGTTACACCACAGTCTTTCCCCTGGAGCGCAAGGCCGACGTGCCTGGCGCTCTCATCCCCTGGCTTGTCTCTGCGCGTGTCCACCACGGTCTCCCTGTCTTGCGTCTTCACTCCGACCGTGGTGGCGAGTTTGCCTCCGGTGTCCTTGGTCGCTTTTGTCGTGCGGAGGGCATCACCCAGACGTTCACCCTACCGGACTCCCCACAGCAGAATGGGGTCGCTGAGCGACGCATCAGTTTGGTCATGGAGGTGGCTCGCCCCTCCATCATCCATGCCGGTGCACCCCATTTTCTGTGGCCGTTCGCTGTGCGCTACGCTTCTCACCCGCTTAACTTGTGGCCGCACCCTCAGCAGCCGCAGGTTTCGCCGACTCGTCTTTGGACTGGGTCTCCTGGTGACGCGTCTGCGTTCCACGTCTGGGGCTGCCTTGCTCACGTCCGTGCCTCCGGCACGGACAAGCTCACTGCCCGCACCCTTCCCTGCGTCTTCCTCGGTTTTCCCCTTGACGCGCCCGACTGGCACTTTTACCACCCGCCGTCTCACCCCTTCTTTCACTCTCGTGACGTCACCTTTGACGAGTCTGTCTCCTACTACCGTCGCTTCCCCCACCGTGGTCCCCCGGTTACCCCCCCCCTGTTCCTGGTCACTCCTTCCCCGGTCGTCCCTGCCCCTCCTCCTCCTCCTCTCCGTCCCGCCCCCTCTGGTGTGTCCCACGTCACCCCGCTTCTGTCGGTGGACCCGGTTGAGGAGTCTTCTGACTCTGGTGGCCCTCCTGTTCAGTCCTCGCCAGCCGCCCCTCCCCTAGCGTCCCCTCCCCAGTCCCCCCCTCCACCGCCCCCGCTGCCGCCGCCGCCGTCGCAGCAGCCGTTCGCTGACTCTGGGGGTGCTTGTCTCGGTCGCCCTGGAGGTGGTCCCTCTGGGGGTGCTGGTGTGGAGTGTGCCGGTGGTAGCCGAGGAGCAGCTTGCGGTCCAGGTGTCGCCGTTGTGCCGCCGCAGCAGCAGTCCCCGCCGGTGTCAGCCCTTCGCCTGCTCGGCCTTCCGTCCCCCGACCCTGTGTCGGTTCCTCCCCGGCCGTCTCCTCCTCTTCCTGTCTACGGCCCTGTCTTCCCTCCGCCGGACTCGTCCCCGGCCCGTCTCCCCCCTCGTTCCCCTCCTGTGTCCCCTCCTCTGTCTCCTGACCTGACTCCCCCGTCGCACGTCTGGTCTCACCGTCCCTCCCGCGCTCGTCCTGCCTCGCCTGTCTTGCGCTCCCACCCTATGTTGCTTCGTTCCCACGCGTCTCGTCCTCCCCTTCTCCCGTCGCCTCCTCCGTCCTCCCTTGTTGTTGCACCCCCCCCGCTGTCTGACTACCTTCGTGCCGCTCGTCCCCTTGTTCCTCGGGTCCTTGCCTCTCTCATTACCGACCCGTCTGTTCCGACCTTGTGCCTTGACGCTCTTGTAGCTGCGGTCGCTGACTTCGCCTCTACCCGCCGCCTTGAC